GTTTCGACTGACATTTGAATCGCTTCCTTGATTGCCGTCCATTGTTCACTGAGTCGTTCGGCTGATGGCTGCGCGGAGAGACGATCTGATAGTTCCGCTTCAAAGGCCGATTTGCAAACCATTGCTGTTATTGTTCTTGGGCATCGGTTTTCGGTGGCTTTTCTTGACAGAAACAGTCCGTGGTCAGCACAAAGTTGGAGTACGCGTTCTCCGTTGTCAGTCCTGTTGGCTGGGATCGCATATAAACCACCAAGTAGCCTATCTGATTCGTCCAGGGATGCCACTTGAACATTGAAGTCTCCAGCGACTACCACGATGTCCGTTGACCGAACAAGTCGGAGCAGTTGAGGGCGATCCTTGTAGAATTCATCCTTCACATCTGGCGAACTGCAATCTGTCGGTGCATAGGCGGATACGACGAATAAACATCGAGATTTCGTTCTGTAGCTGTTGACTCGTAGTGAACCATCCAGACGTACGGCGCAAAGTCGGCTGTTAGACGGGATCCAATCGAGAAAAGTGAACGCTCGGCCTTGACACTCAGCGTAATCCCAACACCAGCAACACCGCGAGCTTCCGATGTCGAATCGCCTGACACACGGAGAGTGAAGCGTGAAGATGAGGTTGGATCTGGAGAACGCAAGGAGATGAGTAAAGTGTTAGGACGGGGCTTATGCAACCCGTCCGATCGCGCACGCCTCCGAGTCAGGCCGTACGCACGCTCGCAACGCTCCAGACAGGCTGCACCTGATTGGATGATCACAGTATGTGTCAGCCAATGTTTGTCCAATCGATCAATCGATGTCAGGGACACAGTCTGATTGGTGCGTAATTGCGTCGTTCTCGTATGCACGATTAGTTCTATGTTTTGCGTTTCGATATCTAATCAAGGAAAACACACTGAGTGTTGTCTCAACCTGTTTTCTTTCTCCGCGTTGTCGTTGGGGGTTGAGCAAGAGTCGCTCGTGTCATTCGTACGCCTAGAGCAAACACAACTGGCGACGGGAAAATTTACGGATCCACAATTTCGATCACGCCGGAGCAGTTACAAGCAATTGTCAAACAGCAACAGGCACAATTCGAGGTCGCGCACCTAAGGATTATGGAGACCATGTTACAACGTCTCAGCAGACATCCCAATCTAGCAAAACCGGTCAAACAGTCTACATCTATGGACACTGTTGCTGCAAGCATCACTGAATTCGTGTACGACCCCGATGCAGGAACTACATTTGATTCAGGGTTCAAAGGTTGGAAAGATGTAATCCGTTTTGAATTCGCGGATGCTGATGACGAATGGAAGGTGCGATTACTGCTCCGAAAACTGGGAACCAAAGAAAATGATCGATACACCGAAATTATCCTGCCCAAAAGTCCACGTGAATTCAATTTCGAAGAAACGATCCGACAACTTTCAAACACGTTTGGTGAAAAGGCGTCTTTGTTCAGTATCCGGTATCACTGCCTCAAGTTGGTGCAAATAATACGGATGACTATCTGACACTAGCCAGCATTGTGAACCGGAAGTGCATGAAATTCAAGTTGCGTTCCATGACTGACGATTAATTCAAATGCCCGATATTTGTGTGCGCACTTCAGTCTTCCCGCGACGCAGAAATCCGCACTCGTTTACTACATTGCATCGAACAAGACCCTGATATCAATTTGCGGACATTAACAGACGAATGCCAGCGGCTCGAGAACCTCAAACATGAATCAATCATCGTTGAGCAACACGGCCGGGCTACAGCCTCACCCAATGTGCATGCTGTCCCAAAGCCACGGTCAACGTCTACCCGAAAGCCTCAAACAGCCGCTACCCGAATACCCCTCCCCCTGCATGTTGGAAATGCGGAGAATGGCATTACGCACGCTACTGTCCCTTCAAGAAACATGTCAAAAATGCCGCAAACGAGGACATAAAGAAGACTACTGTCACACCAAACATTTTTCTACTTCAAAGGGATGTCACGAGACAAGTTGATTCAAATCATTGTCGTCAAAGTTTGAACCCAAAAGTCAAGCGATAGTGTCTGCTGTCAGACCCGAAGTGGAAAAAAGGTGCAATTATCTCATTGTTCGCATCAATGGTGAGCCAGTACGCCTGCAAATAGACACCGCTTCTGACATAACTTTGATCTCAAAACGAACTTAATACGCGCTCGGGCGACCCCCATTCAATCTGACCAACAGCAAAGCATTGAACCTATCTGGCGGACAACTACATCTAATTGGTGAACTTGTGTATGAAGTTTCGTTCAGCGGCAAGCAGATTAAAGGAACCTGTTACCTCACCAACAGACCCTGTTTGAATTTGATGGGTATCGACTGGATTGAAAATTTCCGTCTCCTGAATGTGCCTCTGAACAGCGTCTGTCAACGTGTGTCTATACACACAGAAAGTGCGTCATCTCCCGAAAGTTTGTCTGCAAATCTGACTGCAACCCTCAAGGAGAAGTTTTCATCAGTGTTCCAAGATGGTTTTGGGTGTTGCACTAAGACCCAAGCTCATCTGTGCCTCCATCCGGATGCAAAGCCTGTTTTTCGACCCAAGCACCCAGTGACATACGCGTCATTGCCAGCAGTCGACCAAGAACTCGACCGACTCCAACTTACAGGTATGATCAAACCAGTCGACTACTCCTCCTGGGCCGCACCCATCGTCGTAGTCAAAAAGGCTAACGGTACCATTCGAATTTGTGCCGATTTTTAAACAGGCCTGAACGATACCCTGGATGCACACCAGTATCCCCTACCACTGACCGACGAATTGTTCGCAAAGTTAAACGGCGGCACCTGTTTCGTCCAGCTGGACCTAGTAGACGTTTACTTGCAAATAGAAGTCGACGAGGACTCACGGGAACTGTTGACTATCAACACCCACCGCGGTCTGTTCCAGTACCAGCGACTTCCATTCGGCGTAAAGACCGCCCCCGCGATTTTCCAACAGGTCATGGACACTATGCTCACGGGTATTGACGGTACTGCTGCCTATCTGGACGATATAATCGTGACTGGCAAGACACCCAACGAACTCTCATAATGATTGCACAGTTTTCTCAAAACGGATCCAGGAATTCGGATTTCACCTACGTTTAGAGACGTGTGAATTCTTCATGCCTTCTGTGAAATACCTTGGATTCATCATCGATAGACATGGTCATCGCCCAGATCCCTCCAACATTGCAGCCATCGATAAAATGCCTCCGCCACAGGATTTCAGTTCGTTAAGGTCCTTTTTAGGACTCATGAGCCATTAGGCAGCCCTTCTGCCAGACATGCGCCGCCTGCGCGCTCCTCTGAACGAACTGCTGAAGAAAGATGCAAAATGGAACTGGACATCAGCATGAGAGCGATCTTTTGAAGGTGTCAAAACAATGTTGCGCTCCGACCCTCTGTTGACTCACTTCAATCCGGAACTTAAAATTATGGTGGCTGCTGATGCGTCAAACCATGGTGTTGGTTCCGTCATCTCGCATGCATTCCCTGATGGACAAGAAAAACCATTGCACACGCTGCACGATCCCTGACGCCAGCTGAACGTAACTGCAGCCAAAATGAAAAAGAGACCCTTGCTATTATCTTCGCCGTAAAAAGGTTCCACAAGATGTTATATGGTCGCCACTTCACACTGTTGACCGATCACAAACCGTTGCTCGCTATCTTCGGTTCGAAGAAAGGTGTTCCAGTGTACCCAGTTAACCGACTGCTGCGCTGGGTTACTATATTGCTGGGATACGATTTCGAAATACGGTTCCGATCCACGACAAAAATCTGTCAGACAGACGCTCTTTCGTGCCTCACTGACCCTCGAAGTCAGAGACTGAAGACACGGTCATCATGCCTGTATCGGTGGAATCAGATATGCAAACCCAAATGACGGACACAATACAAGCACTACCTATCACTTTTTACTGAAATACAACGGGCAACGGAACATGATCCTATTTTGCAAAAGGTCGCTCACTATCATCACACACATTGGCCAACGCACATGTCCGGAGCCCTACAACAGTTTTACCGCCGTCGAGAATCTATATCAATGCTGGACGATTGCATCCTGTTCTCCGAACGTGTCGTCATCCCACAAGCACTGCAATGCAGAGTTCTACGACCATTCCACGCTGGCCACCCAGGGATCAACCGCATGAAGGCCCTCGCCCGAAGCTACGTCTATTGGCGTAACATGGATCAGCACATCGAAGAGCTTGAACACTCCTGCTTCAAATGTGCTCAAGCAGCCAAGTCACCTGTCAAGACCAACCTTCAGCAGTGGCCAAAGCCGGTAGCCCCATGGTCACGGGTTCAAGTTGATTTTGCCGGACCGGCACCATTTCCTCGTCGTGGTTGAAGCCTACACAAAATGGCCAGAAATATTCCGAGTGAAACGTGCAACCAACGGAGCCACCATCAGCATCATCATGAACATCATCCGAATAAACATCATCATCATCATCCGAATCATGCTCAAGATCATCTTCATCATCATTTTCATCACCATCATCCTCCGAATCATCACCACCTTCAACATCATCATCATCATCACCATCACCATTATCCGAAACATCATAATTTTTAAAATGCTAATCCGGTAAACTGCCCCTCACCGTGTTTATTTACTGGAGTGGCCTCTCCAGGGGCGGGTGTGGATAGAAAAGGAAGCCAGGTGCCCAATTAGCTGGCCTTGTGAGACAGCTTCGTCTGGCCTCGTTGACCTTTCAGGCATGATTGGATCTGCGACTAGGCTTCTCTGGCTAGGGCACGTATTGCGTATGCCCAGACATCGTCTGCTGCACCGCGCCTTATTCGCTGTGGGTTATCCGGGCTGGAGGAAACCACGTGGAGGTCAACAAATGACGTGGAGACGAGGAACGAAGAAATGCACCGAGCCATTTGGTAGAGTACGGGTCTCTCGCCTTCCAGGTTGGGGTCCGAGAGACTCCACAACTGGTTGGTTGGAAGAATTGAAGGATATGGCAGCGAACCGGCAGCAGTGGCGTTCTTGTTGTCGTTTCTTATCAGGTCAGATTGCTTGAAGCGGTATGTATGCAGAGTTGGATTGCGTATTCTGTGTGTTGACCAGAATGGTTCACCTTCTTCTCCCTACCTCCCTCCCTCAAAATAGGTCCAATCCCTGCCCACCTTAAATTTTACCACTAACCTTGTATGCATTGCGATTTTGGCAGCGATCAGTGAAGTTCTCTTCACTGTATTTCGCTGTACAATGATGATGATGGTGTATACGACAAGATAACCGGTAGATCGGTTGAACCGGAAACCATACGCACGGGCTCTTAGCACATTTTTATGATCGAGGAGTTGATTAGCAATGACTGATTCTATAACCCTCATAATAAACGATGTGAGCCAGATGGGAACGTATTTATTTAAGTTTGAGTGGTTACCGCATTAGAGGATTGGAAATATTTCTGACGTTTTTTCATGGGGTTGGGCATATCCCGAAATCGAGGGATAGAAAGAATAAGCGACACAGGAGGAAGCAGTTCTGGGCCGCACATTTTGAGGAGGACGGGAGGAATCCCGTCGAGTCCCGATGGCTTGTGTGGGTTCAGTGATAAGATGATCTGACGTTTCTTTCCGGTGGAAATGTGTAACGTGAAAATATGGTTCGTTGCAGGGTATTCGGAGGGTTGGATGGATGATTCGAGTAGAGTAAAATCAGAAGCGAAATTGGATGCAAATACGCTTTCAAGCTGGTCGTACACCAGATGATTTAACAGTGAATATCAAGTAAGGGCAACAGAATTTAAGGGATATTGCCTTAGCAAGTGACCAGAAGGTCCCGCTTCCAGGAGGGGCGGTTGCTAACTGTGCTGCTTCGCGCTCAACAAAGAGCTCCTTAGCATTTTGTATGATGGTTTTACAGTTGTTGCGTGCTAACAAAAACTACCGGCAGGAACTGAGAGATGGTAAACGACGCCAGCGGCAGAACGCTGATTTCTTTTTAGGCTCAACGCAACAACAGGTGTGCTTAAAATATCTCGAAGAATAAGGCTTGCCTGGGTTTGGTGATATGAAGAATAAATAGGTGCGTGCATTGCAAAAGAACTTTGGAAAATTTCGAAACCGAGATGCAGATATCTGCGGAGAAACAATAATCATTCCAGGGGCAGGAAGCCAGAAAGTTACGAAAGCTACACTAATTCGCGGAACCGTATCGCCATAGGTTGTATCTAGAATTGAGAATAACGGTTGAATGCATAACGTGGGTGGCAAGCGAATTATGTCAGTAGTCTGATGAACACAGGGGAGGAAATGTGGCAATATTGGAAAGTAACGGTGGGTTGGATGAGAAAGAGATCAAGGGTATGAGCGTATTCACCAGCACGACCGGGGATACGGGTCGGGAAATGAACCAGTTGGAGTAGATTGCTCCATAAAGCGCATGATGATTTTGCTTCAGGTCTTAGGAGCTATGTCCCTATAGAGAGTAACAGCGATTCCCTGTTGTGGATCTAAAAATCAACCAAAGTTGTGAAG